ACAGTGAAAAACTCAAAGCTGCCCCACTAAAATCAGGTAGAAGGCAAGGATGTCCTCTCCCACCACTAGTTTTTAACAACATACTGAAAGTCCTTGCTGATACAGTAAGTCAAGCAAAGGAAATAAAAGTATACATATTGAGAACGAAGACATGAAACTATCTTTGTTCACAGATGACATGACTGCCTACATAGAAAATCTGAAAGAATCGACATAAAAACTCCTGGAATGAATAAGAAATTATAGCAAGGTTGCAGGATATAAAGTTAATATACAAAAGTCAATTGCTTTCCTATATACCAACAATGAAGGAGTTGAATTTGAAATTAAAAACACAATACCATTTACATTAGCACACCAAAAAAAGAAATACATAAATCTAACAAAATATGTACAAGATCTACGTAAGGAAAACTACAAAATTCTGATGAATAGACTCAAAGAAGAACTAAATAAATGGAAAGCTATTCTATGTTTAGGGACAGGAAGACACAATATTGTTAAGACGTCACTTCTTTCCAATTTGATCTGTGGATTCAATTCAATCCCAATCAAAATCCCAGGATATTATTTAATGGATATTGCCAAATGAAATCTAAAGTTTATAGGAAGTGGCAAAAGACCCAGGATAGCCTATACAACATTGAAGGAGAAGAACGAAGCTGGAGGACTGACATTACCAGATTTCTGGAGTTACTATAATGCTATAGTAATCAAGACAGTGTGGTACTGGAGACAGAACAGAGAAATAGATAAATGGAACACAACAGAGAGCCCAGAAATAGACCCGCATAAATACAGTCAACTATCTTTGACAAAGGAGCAAAGGGAATAGAATGAAGCAAAAGACAGTCTCTTCAACAAATGGTGCTGGAACAACTGGATACCCACATGCAAAAAAAAATGTATCTACACATAGACTTTACCCCCTTCACCAAAATGAACTCAAAATGGACCATTGACTTAAATGTAAAACACAAAGCTATAAAACTCTGAGAAGATAACATAGGACAAAACCTAGATAATCTGATATGATGATGCCTTTTCAGATACAACACCAAAGACATGATCAATGAAAGAAATAACTGATAAACTGGACTTCACTACTGAAATTAAAAACTTCTGCGAAAGACGTATCAAGAGAATTAGAAGACAAGACTGGGAGAAAATATTTGCAAAAGACACATTTGATAAAGGAATGTTGTCTGTCCAAAATATACAAAGAACTCTTAAGACTCAACCATAAGGAAACAAACAACCCGATTAAAAAAATGGGCCAAAGACCTTTATAGCACCTCACCAAAGAAGATATACTGAAGGCAAATAAGCATGTGAAAAGATGCTCCAAATCATATGGCATCAGGGAAATGCAAATTAAAACAAGAGATACCATTACACATCTATTAGAATGGCTAAAATCTGGACACTGACAACACCAATTGCTAGCAGATGTGGAGCAACAGGAACTCTCATTCATTGCTGGTGGGAATGCAAAACGGTACAAGCCAGTTTCGAAGACAGTTTGGTAGTTTCTTACAAAACTAAACAAACGCTTACCATATGATCCAGCAATCACACTCCTTGGTGTTTGCCCAAAGGAACTGAAAACTTATACGTACACAAAAATCTGCACATGGATGTTTAAAGCAGCTTTATTCATAATTGGCAAAACTTGGAAGCAAGCAAGATGTCCTTCAGTATGTGAATGGATAAAAAACTGGTACATCCAGACAATGGAATGTTATTCAGTGCTAAAAAGAAATGAGCTATCAAGCCATGAAAAGCTATGGAGAAATATTAAGGGCATATTACTAAGTGAAAGAAACCAATCGGAAAAGGCTACATACTATATGATTCCAACTGTATGACATTCCGGAAAAGGCACAAATAAGAAGACAGTAACAAGATCATTAGTTGCCAGGGGTGGAGAGTAGGGGGAGATGAATAGGCAGAGCACAGAGGATTTCTAGGACAGTAAAAATACTTTGTATGATATTGTTACGAGGGATATATCATTATACATTTGTCCAAACCCATAGAATATACACCAAAAGTGAACCCCAAGGTAAAGTATGGACTTTAGATGATTATGACGTGTTAATATAGATTCATCTTTGGTAAAAAATGTACCATTCTGGTGAGTGATGTTGATAACGGGGGAGATATGCACGTGTTGGGACAAAGGGTATTTGGGAAATCTCTATACCCTCCTCTCAATTTTGTTGTACACCTAAAACTGGTCTAAAAAAATAAATTCTTAAAAAAATACTAACACCCTCAAAAGATAGCAATAAATATATATGATGTCTTCTTATTGAAATATGTTACATACCTACTGCCATCAATAAGTCAGATGGTAGGCTTAGAACAGATATGACATTTACTGGTCTGTAATTCAGAGTTCTTTCTAGATTCCTGATGAATGGGATTTCCATTATTATCATTCTTATGAAATAGTAGTTATTCATAATGTCAGAATATACATTTTTAAATAACACATACCCCTTCCTCCACTTCCCCAATAACTGAGCCATATTCAATTTTTCTATTCTTTAAATTCTCAAATAGAATTAAAACAAAATTATAGCAGTGTGATTGCTTTAAAGATAACCACAAGTGAAAGGGATTAAGACGCACAAACTTCTAGTTATAAAATAAATAAGTCATGGGGATGCAATGTACAGCATAAGGAATATAATCAATAATATTATAACAACTTTGTTTGGTGAAAGATAGTAACTAGACTTATCGTGGTGATCATTTTGTAATGTAGACCTGAAACTAATATAATATTGTATGTAAATTATACTTCAATTAAAAATAAATAAATGAATAAAGGTAACCAGCTATTTCCAAATATATCATGACTTATTATAAGCAGCATATTCTACAGTTAAAATGTCTTTATGTTCTTAGACTATCAGATGTAAGTTCTGCTAATCATTTATGAATGGAAAATTATTCCTCCAGTTCACTGATGGTCTTTTTGTAATACTGAAATTTTCACAGACATACCTCACTGAGGCTGGGGATAGGGCCAAATTGTCCTCCCTCATTAGAATCTGTACTGTTTTTTTTAAATTGTGGTAAATTGCACATAAAATAAAATTTACCATCTTAACCATTTTTCAGCGTATTGTGTATACTGTTAATATCATCTCCAAGAAGAAACAAAGGGTCGCAGACACATTTTTTAAAACAGCAAAAACAGTGCCTAGCTCATTTATGGAACTCTGAGGGATCACTCAACATTCAGGTAGGGGTTGTTAGTAATCTAACTCTGAGTGTCCCTTTATTTACTGAAATCAGCTCCTACTAATAGGCATTAGAAGTAGGTAGGTAAATAGTTAACAATCAATTTGCTAAGTTGTATAAATTCCTAAAATGCACCAGAAATCTATGATTTAGATTTCAGTGAGGTGAGAGATTCATAAAATTGGCACAAATAATATAGGAATGTAAAATACTGTTTCCAACCCAACTTACTCCAAGGACTTCATCGAAAATGCCATGGGGAATTATTTTTTGCTGTGCTTATTTTTATGTCACATAATTGTATTCTTATGAATTGTCTAAAGTATATTGGGAAAAAGATGATATTTTGGAGACTATATAGCTCTATAGTCCTTTTAAAGATTTTATTTTTTTTTCCCTTTTCTCCCCAAAGCCCCCCAGTACATAGTTGTATGTTCTTCGTTGTGGGTCCTTCTAGTTGTGGCATGCGGGACGCTGCCTCAGCGTGGCCTGATGAGCAGTGCCATGTCCGCGCCCAGGATTCGAACCAACGAAACACTGGGCCGCCTGCAGCGGAGTGCGCGAACCCACCACTTGGCCACGGGGCCAGCCCCTCTATAGTCCTTTTAAAAAAGATACTGAGCAAACAGAAATCATGGATGGTAAAAGATAGCTAGTTAGAGGATCTTCATTTATGAAAGTTAAGAGCTTTATCATTTTTAAATAATTTTTTTAAAATAAAGAAGATTGAGAAACTATTGTAAAAGTTATGGCACATGAACTGTGGCAGAATGGAAAGAGCATTGACTTGAAAAACTTAAAATCCCAGATCCACCATTTTTTAGATATATATATACGATTTCAGGCAGGTCACTTACCATCTCTGAGAGCCCAAAGATCCTAATCTGTAAAATGGTGTTAATTCCCATATCTACTTCACAGGGCTGTTGTGATAACATGCTTGAAGATATATGAGTTAACTTACATAAAAATACCTGGCACACTGCCTATCATCAAGTGGCTCTCAGTGAATATCTCTTCCTTCTCAATAAACAGAACTTAGAGTCTTCTGCATAACTCAGGACAAAATAAAAGCAACGTCGTTTTCATAGATAAATGGTTTCTTTACTTGAGTTTTTATAAAAGGTTTACTCTAAGTACAGATACGTTTACAGAAGTAGGAAAACAACAAGCAAAGAAAACATATCTTGAGAAGCATCTAACAAGCAGCTTTCTTTGTTTCACGCTGACATGCTTTGTAGTTACAATGCAGGCTTCCAGTGAACACTGGATTAAAATTAAAATTCTAGGCAGTCATTCAACTTTACAGTTGTGTCCATTCTTCACTGAGCATGGGAAACGAATGCCTTAGAAGTTATTTATTGAAGATATCCCCATAGTACTCTTACAAAGTTCACTTTCAAAAGAGGCCCTATCCCTGTTAAGTAACTGAGTGAAAGCTAGACCAGGTTTCTTGCATTACTTTAAAAATTGCAGCAGGCTAATAAAATCATGTTTTTAACAGAGGCTTTTCTGAGGGTAGGCTACAGCAGTTTTGCAAAGGTGCATGATAAATTATAGGAAAAGAGACCAAAGAAATTTCAAAAATAAAGAACACCAATCCAAAATGACTTATGACCATACTTTGAACAAAATTAAATGTAGAATAACTAGCAAAAAGCATTTAATTTAACTATGGTTTTCCTATAATGAATGTGAAGTTGGCACTAATGCAGCAAGCCTAATCAAAATCAGGTAATAGTTACCTCTGTGGCCTTGCTTGATGGTTCCAGTCCAGTCATGTTTGCTACTATTAACTGATGTAAGAGTTGAACTTGAGCCACACTTAGGAAGAAGTCCAGGTTTGTGGTTATATTCACTTCCAAGGAATGGCCACACACTAAAATCTCCTGAAAGGAAAAAAAGGTTGAATACAGATAAAGAAACATGATAGCCATTAGACAATAATTATCATTCTTACTTATTTGACCTTTACTATGTCGATGAATTCTCCTGAGACTCAAGTTCATATGTTAATGAGAATAGCAGAAATGGTGAGCACAGCCCCTCGACATAGTTTTATGGATTCATTTAATAAACATTTATGAGGGCCTGTTGTGCACCAGGCCATGTGCTAGCTACAGAGCAACAAATTAACAGTAAGAATTTTTCACCATTTCATATATATTTGGCTTTTGTATATCTCAAACTACTATCATTGTTTCAATATGTACGGGATGATGTAATTCTTTAACATTATCTTGATCACTCATTTAAACTAATAAATATTTACTGAGCATCTTCTAAGTACCATGCACTAGAGTGCTAGGAATATCACAAAGAATAAGGTTGGCCTTAAAGGACGCTCTTAAGGAGGTTACAATCTAGTTGTGCAGACAGATGGAAACAGGCAACTCTAGGCAGGCAATTACAATCACAAGTGGTGTGGCCTGAGTATTCTCCAGAGGACATACTCCAAATGATTTATGACAAACTAGAGTGCTGAAGCCAAAGATAGCTAGACTAATTAATTTCACTTCTTCAAACTGCTAAAATCTTGGCAGCATTAGGTAGATGTCCACTACTTAACTGGTGCTGTTCTGCATAACTGAGTCACTTGAACACTCATGTTGGAAAACCACTCAGAGAAGCAAAACAGAGATAAAAAACAATCCAGAAGCTTCACTTAATAAGCAGAAGTCCTGCCTCTTGTCGTGAAGCTCATGTGGACAATGTTCAAATGCTTTGAAACGTCCAACAAACCTTCTCCTCGTCATCCAAGGGAATGGATTTAAGGAGACTTACGACTGGTCCAAATACTAACTACAAAGCTTAGAGCAGCTTTTAATAAAGCCATAAAGAACAGCATGTTGGAAATGATTATCCTCATTTTTTGGATAAATAACTTTTCCCCAACAAGTTCCCTGAACTTACTCGTGATAGGTAGAATTCTTATTTTATTCCTCAAGTAACGATGAAAAGGAATATATATGTGTATTTTAAACCAATTGTGTTACTAAGTAACTGTAAGATATTAGTAGACAATTTTTATACACCTTTTGTGGATATCTAAGATACCACGCCTAACCTAACTTTCCCTATAGGGTTATTATAAACATCAAATAAGATAACAAATACAAAAACACTGTTTTTTAAAAATTCAGAAAAGGAATGTAAAGTTTTATCAGATTGGATTAATACATTAATCTTTACCTAATTTTTCTGAACTTTTCATAACAACCGCCTATAACTCTGTGAATAATAAAAAAAGTTTGTGATTTTTAGCATAATAAATTTCCATGAAGAATAATTTTTAAGTAATGATGGACCACATTATTATTACATTTCTATTCTAGGCAGGCATGGAGGCAGAATACCATAGTGATCAGACTTGAAACCTGGAACCACTAGAAACTGGCCAGTAACATTGGTCAAGTTACTTAATCTCTTTTCATCTCAGTTTCCTCAACTATAAAATATGGCTACTAATGATATCCATCTCACAATGATGTTGTGAAGACTAAATAAGGTAATCTACGTAGAACTCTCTATGTAAGGTAATCCACATGAGAACTGTGAGTATTATTGTTGCTTTCATTATAAAGAGGTTTTAGAGGTTAGGAGTGTATCGTCTGGAGCCAGACCAGTTGGGTCCCTACCATGGTACTTACTACTTGTGAAAATTTGGACAAGTTATTTGGGTTAGCCTCTTCATGTTTCAGTTTCCTCATCTATAAAATGAGGATAGTAGGAGAAGCTAATAGGATTATTATGAGGATTAAATGCAGTATCACATGAAAAGCAAAAACTGAACAATACTGGAAAGTGCTGAATTATTAGTTATAATAGTAACTTATTAATAATAAACTAACTTGATAACCTGTGCACCGAAACTATGACAACCCCTAACATACAAAGAGAAGGTGCTCCATTATTTAGACCAAAATGAAACTTAAATTAAATTCTAACCTCAGTCTGCAGATTTTCTGGAGAAATTATTTTGGTGAAAGTGATGGCAGGTGCTCCAGTTATTCGGACAGAAAAATCTGTTAAAATGGGAGTCAAAATTGCTCTTCTTTCTTGATGTCGCCGTATGCTAAAATATAAAGTACAAAATTATTAGCCAGTTCATTTTTTTCAAGGATAATTTTCATTAAATTTGTACAAATCTTTGTACTACAAACAGGTATGACAAAATTACATTATTACTTTGAGAGTGCCTATTTGTACATTTACAGTCATAATTTCGTAACTTTAGCTCTTAACTTCAGATTTCTGGAAGACAGCAAAAACATCACTGAGAAATTCAGATGTAATTAATCCATTTCATATTAGTAGCATCCTAGGGACCTTCCAACAAATTACTTTGTCTGTTTTTAATTCCTTTTGTTCTCGTAAATAGTTTAGTATCTCTTTTGTTACCAACAATAATTTTACTATTTTGTGATAATTTTTAATTTTCTATCTCTAATATTTCTGACCTTCTACTTGACAATCGACATTTTTCCAATCTCATTAGGTTCACAAATGTACTGTCTTTATAGTTAGTGAAATGGCTTTTGTGACTTTAATACTGAATGCTTCTTCACAAAACCCTGTATGTGAAGTAAGGATCATTACTAGCCCCACATTACCTATGGGGAAATGAGGTTCAGGACAGGGCTAAGGCTACCCAGTGGGAACAAAGGTTCCAGAATTGGGCCTCCGGGACAAGTTGATACCAGAGCAGCATTTGGCCTCTACTTTAATTCTTCTTTATACATTCTCACCTTTGAGCAGCTATTTAGCATAATATTTCTACTCTACATTCAAAGTTGCTAATTGCTAATAATTTCAGAGGACATATTGCATACATGGTAGAAGATGAAATTGGGAAACATCAGAGAGAAGTCAAAGCTTGTGCTAGTGCAAATCTTCAAGTCTATTATCCACATTCTTAGTTTCATTTTATAAAATAATATGGTTCTATGCTTTACTAGCAAGCTATACCTCAAAAGTTTCTTGGAACCATTAATTTAATATTCCTTATAAATATGTCCCTATTAATCCCTTATATTCTAAAATGATAAAGTTGAGATCAGAAAATTGGCATAAGTTATCTCATCAAGAAGCCCAGATAAAACTCAAGACTTTCTATATCCCTGTTTACCAGAGTAGTCCAGTGAGTACTAATATCTTTTGCTGAACTTTGTAATGAGCAGAGCTTTACATGGTGTCTGCCAAAAAAGCAAATTGGATCATCTGTGACACGTAAGTATTGGATTTCAAGAAAGTCAATTTTAAAGAATTAAGAGATCTGGTGAATAGAGGGTAAGAGGAAGAAGTATTAAAATCTATGAATACAGAGGAAGGGCTGAGATCCTAAGAGAGACCATAATTACAGCCTAATAGCTCAAATTCCATAAAATGACCAATGTGAGAAACATGTAACATCTCATATGCTCTCATAGGGAGTGCTAAAATATATGATGTCTTAAAAATACCTTAAAATGGAAAAGATGGCAGGGAACCAAATAAAAGAAAACATTAACTAAAGCACTGATGGGGAAAAAAAAGCACTCATCCATATCATATTCTTTCCCCATTATGTGATGAATTAAATCAATAACACCACATGTGAAAGCTCTATGACCTTAGAAATTAAAAAAAAAATTAATAAGTCAACAGTACTATAAACTTATAACTTATCTGGTACATACTGCTAACTTTTCTTTCGTATTAGCTCTGAATAGCACTTGGGGTGATGATACGTACTGTTAAAACCATTAAAATTTTTTGTAGATTCAAATATTTCCAAGGATGAATTCAAAAGAAAGAAAAAATAAACATTGAAGAAATAGCTACAACAAGAACTAAATTCTGCCAATATTTTACTAGATAATAGTCTACGGTTTAAAATAACAAAAGAAGGAAGTAAAACTCAAAGTATTAACTGACACTATTAATGATTTCAGGGTCTTAGCCACTCTCAGTAAACCAAGGGAATTGATTTTTAAGATACTGAGACAGCAAGCTAATCCTTATACCCCTGATAGAGAAGGATGTTGAAATGAGCTGCCTACCTAGATCTGGGGCCGTTAAACGGCTGGAAAAACATCTTCCTATCTGCAAAGCGGAAGAACAAGAAAGTTTGTCTGTCTTGGCAAGGGAGCTAGTTCAAAAAACAGAGATCTCCTTGGAAAATTTAAAATAATGAGAAATCCCCCTTTGTGTGTTTGGTAGCTATAATTTATATTACCTGTGATGGTCTAGAAATAACCATTTTGACTTATATAAAAGTTGCAACAGACCTTTCATAACCCTGTGGCATTCTCAGGGACAAAGACCACAGAAGACAAGCTCCTAAGCACAGATTATTTTATATTACCCTCCCCCCGAAATAATTCTTTATTAGCAAGAGGAGAGTTCAACTCCATTATAGAAATCATTACCAAGAAGTTTGGATAATGGGAATACCACATATGGACAATATAATAAATTTGTTTAAAACCATTAAAGACATATAGATTGGAATAAAAACACACAGAACTTCTAGAAATGAAAAATATAGTTACTAAAATTGAAGTGCATAATAGTTGGATAAACAACATTTTAGATACACCTTAATAAAAAATAAGTAAACTTGGAATACAGATTTGAGAAAATTCCTAGAAGTGAATTTTAAAATGGAAAGTTTAAAAGAAATGAGACACAGAAGGGCAAGTCTGACATTTAATTGGCATTCCAAAATGTGAGAACAGAAAGTAAGGAAAAGGGACAGGATTAAAGAGATCATGGCTCAGAATTCTCCAGAACTGATGAAATATGGGAATTCACAGATTCAGCAAGCACAATAAGTCCTGGTTCAGATAAATACAATAAAATCCACAATTAGACATATCTTGGTGAAACAGCTGATGACCTATGATGAATAAAAGATATTAAAATTAGCTAGAAAAAACATTATCTATAGCACGTTAAGGCATAAGAGGTTAGGAGATCTGTGGAAGAAATATTTTTCTGATATACTCTAAAATAACAACAATTTAAGGTATCTCTACATTGCCCATAGAAACAAAGAAACGGTACAGTGATTTGCACCTATCACCTAACATGGAAGATTAAATGCATAGAAACTTATTAAACACTCTTTGAAGATTAAAAAAACACTGAAAATCCTAAGGTGCTAATGAACTAACAGAAAAGTAATCATATGTGTTAACAAAGCTATTCTGCTACGCTTTGGGAGGAGTAGATTATAAATAAGGAAAGGTATAGTTCTCTGAAACTGTTACTAAGCAAGAAGGTGTAGGTAAATGCCACACACACTTATGAAAATATATGTTTCGGAAGGCCGCGGTCATTTTTCTTGGGCTCAGCATATATATGCTAAGGTTCTTCTGCCCATCTTCCATACATTTTGGCATGACTTTGTGGGAAATATTAAAGCAGTGTAAGAAGGCTACTTTAAAAATTGCACATTATGAAAAACTGGAAGTAGGAATAATGGTGCTAAGGTTTCCAAAATATTCCACCAAAAAGACAGAATAAAAAGTGCTAGACGGTCTGTGTGTGCACCTAACATTCCTTATGTAACATGAAGACTTTCTTGGTATGGTATTACAGCTGAGCTTCAGATAGAAGATACTTGACCAGAAGAAACTTAAGACTTGTGGTAATCAACTGAGATAATCCCTTTCAGAGGATATTCCTAAATAGGAAAAACAGTAATATTCACAAACATTTATTATAAACAATCTGCTATTTGGAAAATTATTATAATTTGATTAACTATGACTATTTATTTTGATTTACTCCTCCTATTTTTAGATAGACAGTCATAAGGATAATTTGAATTCTATAGTAACTTTAAAAATCAAATATTTAGTTTCAAGTTTAAACCTATTTTTCCCCCAAGAGGAACACTATCCAGTGACTTTCTAATGCAATTAAAATGACATCCAAATTCCCTTTGACCAATAAGACCAGTCATAATTTAGTCCTTCTCTACCCAAAACTTCATCTATTATTTCTCTCCTGCCAGCCAGGTATGATCCTTAAATGTGCTAAACTTATTCCTACTCAAGGGTCTTTGCTCTGCCCAGAACCCTCTTGGCAGAAAGACTCCATGAGTATTTGCATGGTTAGCTCCTCCTTGTCACTCAAGTATTAGAAGAGTCCTTACCTGAGACCTAATTAAGAAAATCTCCCAGTTACCCATATCACACTATACTGTCATATCGTTTCCATAAATTTATCACTCTGAAATTTTGAGAACATGGACTGAGTGTCCACCATTATGGCAGGCCTTTTGCTGGGTGCTGGGAATACAATGGCAAAGACGGATGCATGGATCTCAGTTTGCAGAAAAAATAACTAAACAAAAAATCCTAAGGTAGGACAAGTATAATGATAAGGAAAGTACAGAGAGGTATGGAAATGTTTGATAGAGGACATAATCTTTTATCAAGGTTCTAAACTTACCCAAGAAATTAATTTGTAAAAACATATAAATCTATGAACAATGCTACAAGAACTACAACTTGAAATAACGATGATTTTTAAGGTACATTTAAATAAAATGCTAGTGCAAATTTAGATCAGCAAAATTAAATAACGTTAAAATATTCTCATTATTTTAAAAAAATTCAAAACAAAAAATCTCTCCCAAAAAACAAACAAACCCAAACTATGGTTAATGGTATATCTGTGATGGAGATCACAGGTGCTACCTTTATTACAGCCTCTAAAAGAAAGTCTTACGGGCGTATCTATATTGAAATATCAACTCAGTTGAACTGAGATGGTCAATGGATAATAGCTTTGGTTACAGTTTCCAGTTGTTTATATCTATAGTCTGGAACTCCTGCATCTAATTCTACTTAATAGCTCTTTTTCCAAAGAAAAACTTCAAAATGCAGTTCATGGAAGAGGAGAAACCAGGGGAATTGCTGAAAGTTCCTCAGAGAAAGGACATTCAGAAATTGCATGTTGAGAATATATACACAAATCCACCAAGGGACAGATGGTCAGAAAATTTACTCCATTTTTAAAGCTGTGATAACAGGTATTGATGTATCAGGCAAAGTGCTCAGAGATTTATACAGGATAATATAT